AAAAGAAGGAAGTGGGGAAAAGAACTAGAAAAGGAACAAATTAAAGCCAATGAGATACATCCTATATAAGACATGCAGTTAATTCAAATATTTATTGAACACCTCCTATATGCCAGGTGTAGTTCTAGGTGTAGGACATTACATTGAACTAAACTGACAAAAATCTGTTTCCTGGTGGACTTGACATTCCCACGGAAAGATATCAACAGTAACGAAATGCGTTGTACACCAGGTGGTGAGAAGAGTGGTGGAGAAAAAATAAAACAGGACAGAATGTCAGAAGAGGACAGTGGGTGTGTTCATAAAGGATTGTCAGGGAGCACCTGCTCTATAAGGTGACACTTAGGCAAAGACATGAAGCAAAGTGTGCAGTTATCGTGGGAAAGAGTGTTCTAGTCAGAACGATACATGCAAGGCCCTCCCAAAGGAGTAGTTCGAGTTTGTTTTTGAGAAACAGAAGGAGGAGGCCTGTGCCCCTGACCCCCTTCTCAGAACTAAGTGGGGAGGTTGGTAAGAGATGGAAAAGAAGCTGAGGGGTTTATCTGGCAGAGTAAATGGGGCCTTTAGACCATTGTAAGGACTTTGGTTCCACTTGGAGTGATACGGGAAGCCCTTGGGAGGGGAGTGACATGATCTGATTAAAAGGATCACCCTGCTGCTGAGTTGAGAAGACTGTAGAGCGTTACAAAGGGCTGAGGAATGGAGCCAGTTAAATGACATTTGCAACAGTCCAGGTCAGGTATCACTTGGATCTGATTGATAGCTGTCAAATTAACGAGAAATGGATTCTACATGTATTTCGAAGGTAAAAAAGACTTTGCCAACTGAATGGACATGTGGGGCATTAGCAAAAGGAATCAAGGATCATTAGGAATTTTGAGTCCAAATATTTCCAGCTGGAGTTGTTTATTGAGATGAGGAAGAGTGGGAAGGACAGATGGAGGGGGAGTGAGGGTGAAGGTAAATTGATTTTAGACACCTGAGCTTGCAGCACCCGTTAGACATGCAGGCAATGTGTCAGGTAGGCATTTAGATACAGGAGTCTGGAGTTTGAGGCAGTCTTCTCAGCTGGCCTCTCTCTGGGGATAGAAATTTGTGAATTGGGGCACCTGGGTGGCTCGGTTGCTTCAGTGTCCGACTCTCGATTTTGGCTCAGGTCATGATCTTAAAGTTCCTGGTTTTGAGCCTCCCCACTGTCAACGTGGAGCCTGCTTGGCTCCTCTCTCCTCTCTCTCTCTAAGAAATAAAAACTTAAAAAAAAAAAAGATCCATTAATCAATAGTGTTAGATATAATTTAAAACCAAAAGATTAGATTTGCTCATTTAGCAGGTGGGTGTAGCTAGAGAAGGGAAGACTATGCCCTGGGAGGCTCCAGTGTTTAAGGTTCAGGGAGAAAAGAAAAAACTGACAAAGGAGACTGAGGTTGAATCCAGAGAGGGGTCCCAAAAGTCACCTTCTGTTGCTAAGTCCAGTAGAGGACGAGGGTCCTAAGTACACCCGATGGGTGTACTTCGCGTGGAGCACAGTGGTGACCCTGACCAGCGTTTTCTGTGGAGAGGTAGTGGTGAAAGTGTGGTCAGGGCACTGCAGAGAAAAGTGGAGGATCTGGAGGTGGGGAGTCTGGACTGCCCTTTGAAAAAGTTGTAAGGGGGAACAGAGACATGGGAAGCTGGTAGAGGATACGGGGGCAAGAGCAGATATCTTAGATGAGAAATACTGTAGTATGTTTTCGTGCTGATGGGCATCGGCCAGAGGAGGAGCGTGAGGTGCAGATGATGCAAGGGGACAGAGGATGGTTGCCTGAATAATGCTCTGGAGAAGGCAGCGAGAGTGGGATTTTGTGCTCAAGTGGAGGGGTTGGCAGTATATTATGATAGGAGGGAAGGCAGACTCTTTGTGGGAGCAGACACAGGAGGTGCGAAGGTATGCAGTCTGGGGGGACCTCGTAGCAGTTTTCCTCTGATTGTTTCCACTGCCATCATCAGAGCGGAGGCACAGTCCGTGAGGGTGGAGAGGACTTGGAGACGCAGTGTAGGCGATGCTGGGTTTGGGAAGCGGGTTTGCTACACCGAGGGTCCAGTTGAGGTTGGTGCTTAGGAGTGTAAAGCGAGGTCAGTGAGCGTGATTGTTTTCCTTACACCGGCTTGGACGGCACAGAGACAGAAGAGGTTAAGATGTGATTTTGAAGCTGTTGCTCGTGCTGGATATTGTAGGAAGCGTATAGAAATCCACTTCTGTGGAACACATATAACGAACCTATAAGAACAGACTCATACATAGGGTTGTTGATACAACACAAGATGAATTCCTGTAAAAAAGAAAAGGGGAAGCATTTTCTACACACCAGACATTGCGTTAGAAGCTACAGGGGCCTTCAAAGTCATTCATCCATTCACCTATTTATTGGGTGCTGAAATATGTGCTGTACATTGTGCCAAGTGCTGGGGATACAGTGGGGAACAAGCCAGAAGGGGTCCCTGCCCTCATAAAGCTTACGCCGTTACTCTAGCCTATTGGAGGGTGGCGTTGACAAATGTTCAGCAAGAAAAAAAAAAAAAAAAGCCAGTTATTCAAAGTGTGATCCCATACTGATAATAGGTATTCAGGGAAGGATCAGGTCAGCGCGGGCTTAAATGTAGGTGTGAGAACATAAGTCCACAAACCACCATCCCAAAGTTTGTTTTTGTTTTTTGCTTTGAGTAAGATATTGTAGATTGGCTTACTTCCACTGTGATGTTTAGAGTGGTGCTCCTTTATCAGGCACATTAATACTTCCGCATTGAAATGTATGACGATTCACAAAAATTGTGGTGATTAAGGCCCAAGTGGATCCAGATCAGGTCTGATCAGGTTTTGTCACTAGTGAGTTTATGAATAAGCTTGTGGTCCTCAGAGTTAAATTCCAGGCTTGTGAACCATCGTGGGAAAGATAGGACTTTGTACTTCTAGAGGGAAAGCAAGCACAGGGCACAGAAACAGAAATGATCATGACTTGTTAGGGACAGTAAGGAAAACTGAGTGGACTAAATCACTGGGATAAGCAGGTTTGAACAGTTAGAGCCCGATTATGAAAGGTCCCGAAGCTCTTGTGAAGTGTTAATCTTTGAGGTGGTAGACTGCAAGAATTGTCCGAGGGAGCTGATTGGAAGGTTCCCCTTGCAGCCACTTTTGTGAATGAATAGAGTGGGAACAAACTGAAGAGGTCAGTCAGTTGGCCAGTATTCGTTGAGTGCTGAAAATGTTGTGCTCCTGCTGTTACTAGTAGTAATTAATTGTTGGCACCTCCTTTTGAACCCTTGCTGTGTTCTCAGGCACTGGGCTGTGCATTTGACTTGCATTTCTGGTAGGAGTTGTGAAATTGTTCTGTGATCTTCATCCTTGAGAATCTTACAATCTTGTTGGAAAGAAAAGTCTTAAGCACCTAGTTTAAACTGTGAAATATTCTACTTTATCAATGGAATGTTCTAACGAATAGGGTGTTCTCTTTTTCAGATACTTGTTCTGGATCTTGAGTTGGCTATGTGCATATATATAGTCTGTCAATCCTCAAAAGTAGTGAATTGTTTTGGCTTTGTATTCATTAGCCTTCTGGTTATATGGTAATCTGGTTCCCTGAGGCTCACTATTTCTGAGAAGGGGGTTGCCCTGGGTAGACTATTCAGATTCTCAGGTAAGGTGTACATCTGTTGTAAAATAATAATTTGGCATGCTGATTTAAACATTTTATGCATTTGGAAAAAATATTTTATGGGTTTGGGGAATTAAGGCATGCCACCTGACTGTTTGCTAACGGGCAAACTTGTAAAATTAAATATCTGGTTTTCAAAGTTTTTATAACAATTGTTATAAATCATTTGTATCATTGTTTGTTTAATGTTTGTCTTTGTCACTAGAGTATAAGGCTTGTAAATTTAGGAGCTGGATCTGTTCTCCTGAGCACTGTATTTCCAGGTTATTGCACAATGCCTGGCACATGATAGGAGCTCAGAAATATTTTGAATGAATGAATGAGTGAATGAATTCAGAGCTGAATTGTACACCAGCAGCAAGGATAATTCCAACCTAAGAGTCCTGACCCTTTGCAAAGCCTAAAACCTTGCAAAAGGTTGGAGCACTCAGACCACGATGTGTAGCACAATAGCTTGTATGTGATACCTGTGGAATAATAAGCTTATTCTAAAATTTTAAATTTATAAATCAATTTACATGTATTTGGTACTGCATTTTGGTTAGTCTTAATTGTGATTTGGGCTTCTTCCTGACCTCCTCGTCCCTCCTCCCCTTTTACCCATTTTTCACATTAATTGATAGTTGCCTCTATTCTGATGAATTTTTGTTGTGGTCTGTCCTGCAGAGAAAGAGATGCTGGTTGCGAGTTTTGGAGATCCCTGTTTTTTATGGAACACAGTTCTGTAAACTTTTCATAAGCTTCCTTGGCAATAACATACACTTGTGATGGACCCTAGAAATACTGCTATGTTAGGATTGGGTTCTGACTCCGAAGGATTTTCAAGGAAGAGTCCCTCTGCCGTCAGTACTGGCACAGTGGTCAGCAAGAGAGAAGGAGAGCTAGAGAACAACGCGAAAGAGGAGGAGGACCTTCGCAAGTGGAATCGGGAAAGAAACAGTGAAGCAGGGAAAGAGGATGGTTTGACTGATGCACAGCAACAGTTTTCAGTGAAAGAAACAAACTTTTCAGAGGGCAACGTGAAATTGAAAATTGGCCTTCAGGCTAAGAGAACTAAAAAACCTCCAAAGAACTTGGAGAACTATGTGTGTCGACCTGCCGTAAGAACAACCATCAAGCACCCAAGGAAAGCACTTAAAAGCGGGAGGATGACTGATGCGAAGAATGAGCCCTGCCCTCCAAAACGGGTGAGTACCGCTCGCAGCCATCCGTGGTCTGCGACAGGACCTGGGTTCCTCCACCCTTCACACACGTATCACAGGAAGTTTGATTTTCATCTCTGCGGCTATCAGCAAATAGTCTGTTGTGCTTGACTAAAATAGGCTGCGAGACTTGTTAGGGGTGTGGATGATAGTGTGACTGTTTGTGTTTGTAGGGCAAATGTTGTGAATTGGGCGCACCCATACCGTTACTCCTGCAGGGCTTAGTGGAAAGTGTATTGGGTTTGCATGTAGGAAACCTAGATTTGAATCTTGCCTTCCTGTTTTTCTAACAGTGTGACTGTAGACAGATTAACAGGGAAGGAATCGAGGTTCAGTGCTGTTAAATGATTCCAATACTACCTACCTATATGCCCACGTGCATATTTAAATGTTATGCATACGTAAGTAAAACAGTAGATCTAGGTAGAAAGAATTGGTTTAAGATTTTGGAATAATCCTGGCTGTGTGAAATAACGTGATTTTCACTGTTAATTTCTTAACATCAAATTCACGTGCTTCCTACATGTTACCAGAAGCCATAACGATTCAGGCTTTTTGTTCTTCTCCGAATTGCTGTGGCATCCGGAAGTTGTTAATAGTCGCTATGTAGTCTTCAAAGATCACAGACACCTAAGGTAGCTTGGGATATTTTGTTGATAAAATCAACTGTGAATGAGTTAAGATGATAAGCCAGGAAAAAAAATGGGTATTGTACCAATTCTTGAAAAAAAATGAACCGGATGAATCTTAGCTAAGTTGATTAGCCTATCCTGAGCCTTATTTTTCTCATCTCTGAAATGAAGATATTATCTGTTCCTTCTGACCTCAAGGATTTTCATAAGGTTGATTGAAAAAGATTTTTATCTAGACCTTTTTATTTGAAACAGTGTTACAGTTTATCTGGTGCAGCAGACTTGTAAAAGTCTCCGGGATGATTGTCTTGAGTAATCTTTCTATAGTTTGTTTTGTTTTGTTTAACAGTACATGCTAATGATGAGGTTTTGTACTGAGGTGACTTCACCCACAGTATGTGTTTACTCTCAACATACGGGTAGTTTATATCCACATATCTTATTTGTAGTAGAATGTAGTCTGTGGTTTCTGAGGGAAGGTAGCAGAGCTGCTAGTGAAGGGTAGGTGTTTATTTTTCCAACAGTTACTTGAGCATAGGATGTTGAATATATTCGTGACCTCTGAATTAGTTCTTCAGAAGTAGTGGAAGCAGCATGGGTTATGAACTCAGAACCTAATTTTAATCCTGGCTTAAAAACTATACACAGGCAGTTGGCTTTCTCTTACTCAGCCTTGGTCTTCTCAATTATAATGTGGGGTTATGAATGCCTAGCTTAAATGATTATATAAAGAATTGAATTTCTATAAAGAATCTAGCATGTGGTAGTTCTTGGGAATATTCTCTTTTCCTTTTTATCGCCTAATGTAGGAGTTCACAACCCTCGATCCCTGGGAGGGTGTGTTGGGTGTGTGTCACTGCCCTCACAACGCGACAGTCTGTGCAGAATTTTGTGTGTGTCTGGGTGCATTTTTGCGTAGCTCTTGCCAGCTTCGTAGACCGTTCGTGACTCCGAAAAGATGAGGCATCCTTGGCCAAGGAGGGAATGGACTTTTATGAGATCTTTGGTAGTCTTAAGAAAGCTTGAGGGCTGTGCTTTATTTATTTTTAAAGCAAGGCTTTACCAAACACAACCAAAACATTTACCCCTTGATTCTTCAAAATCAAAAGTCATTGAGCTTTTGTCAGTGCTGCTTATAAGGCAAACATCAGGCCTTACATTTCTAGTAAAAACAAATATAGATCATGTATTTTATCTCTTAAAAGAATTTCATCAGTGTTCAGAGAGCAAAAACAAGACCCTCGGAAAAAATAAGTTACTTGCTGTCATGATTAGTCCTGAATGGTTGTTAACTGTTTATGTAATTTTGTAACTGTTCATGTCATTTTTAGAAGCAAAACCCAAGTTCGGTTCCATGAGTGAAATTTTCCCTTTTCTTGAATGTGTGACATATTGTTAAATTTCTGGTAGTTTACTCATGGACTCTGTTACCTAGAGGGATTCAAATATGTCACTTAGTTTTTAAAAATTTCAATTCCCTGTTTAGGAACTGGCACATTAATAACTGGGGTTTGAAGTTTAGTTCATTCTTTTGAGAAAATATTAGAGGATGATGCTGTAATGCCTTTTATTTAAAGTTTAGTGCAGACCGCGAGGGTCCTAATTTTGTTTTTATTTAATGTATTTTTAACGTATTTATTCAATAGAGTTTTTTAATTTAATACATATTTTTAAGGCATAATTGACATATCGTGCTGTGGACTTGGTTTGTTTTTAATTAATTCTGAGACTTACCTTCTGTATTCCGTTTTGGCCAAACTGAGCAATTTCATTCTGCCACTGCTACTACTAATTCAGAGTTGGCAGGAATCTAGGAGAATCAAGCACTCTGGTACATGGCTGGTGGAAATTGGTACAGCACGTTTTGAATTGTGCTGCTTTTTTGTTGCTGAGTTTTCAGGGTTCTTTATACATTCTGCAATTAAGACTGGGGAATATTGACTCCCATTCATTCTGTGGGCTGTCTTGTCACTCTTGACAGTGTCCTATGACACACAAACGTTTTCAGTTTTGATGAACTCTAGTTTGTCTGTGTTTTCTTTTATTGCCTGTGCTTTTGGTGTCCTTTCCAAGAAATTGTTGTCAAGTCCAGTGTATTGAAGATCTTCCTCTGTCTTTTTCAGGGTTTTATCATTTTAGCTTCTGTGTTTAAGTCTGAGAGATTTTCACGTATCCTCCTCACCCTGAACTTGCTCTCTGAATTCAGAAACTAATTAAGATAGCAAGGGGTATTTTGGTCATGGGAAGCTGGATAAAAAATGTCCTGTGTAAGAGTGTGGATATTGGACCAGCAAATATTATTTGATTAGGTAATAGACTGTATGATTCACAGTTTAAAAGACAAAAAAAAAAAAGGAAACAATGAAATACTGTTACCATCATTACCCCCTCTGAGTAAATCTATTTTGGAATCCCCTTCTGGGCCATCTGGTGACTCCTCCCCTCCCCACCCCCCCATACTATCTGTGATAACTGATTAAGCAGAATAACCATTTCTCAACCAAAATGAAGAAAACTGATCTATATATTGAATGTATTTTCAGGTTTACATTTACACTTGGAAAATAATACCACAATAACAACTAGTTGTTTTGGGGGGTGCCTGGGTGGCTCAGTGGTTAAGCATCCGACTCTTGATTTCAGCTCAGGTCATGATCTCACAGTTTGTGGGATCGAGCCCTGTATCAGGATCTGCACTGACAGCACTGAGCCTACTTGGGATTCTCTCCCTCTCTCTGCCCCTCCCCCACTCACTCTCAAAATAAACTTAAAAAAAAGAAAAAAGAAATAGTTGTTTTGGTACCAAAATTGGTATAAAGAATCTTCAGGGAAATAAATCCCAACATCAGTGTCTTTGGTTTCTCCCACATAATATATTATGTGTATACAAGCAAATACATGTCTCTCCCCCTCCCCCCCCCCCCCCAATAAAAAATAAATAGTGGCATACCACATACTGTTCCCTGTCATGCTTTTTTCCACTTAGTATATTCTGGCGATACGTGTACTTAGATCTGGTCTGCTTTTCCATTTTTGTATCATTGATGTTTCTCTTTCTCTGCCATTGTGATAGTTCTAATTCTTATGTTTGGTATCTGGTAGGGCTACTCCTTCATTACTCTTGCTTTAGAGTGCTCCTTGCACGCTTGCCTGTTGATTTATAAACTTAATGTGATTTTGGGAAAAGCAGATTTTTTTTCTAGAATTCATCTGGTTAATTATAAAATTTATATTTTGTTCATCTTTCTCTGTGGTTGAACTTGGAACCTAATTGGAAGATGATTTCCTTGAGAAGCTCTGAATTTGCTTTGCCAGGAATTCAGGTGTGTTCCTAATACCTTTCCTGCGGTCCCTACTTTGCCTTGAGGCCACGGCTTGGTGCATTTACCCTCTGAGCAACCATGCCTATTATGGTCAGCCTCATTTTTTCTTCTCATTTGGTATTCTTGGAGATTTTTCTTATGTTCTATGAGGCCAACAGCGCAACAAGCATTGCATTTTGTGCTGGGTTAATTTACTTTGTTGCAATAGAAGATATCTTCTATTTAGCCTACCAAGAGGATAGAGTGGAGATCACCTGATTATTTTATAAGTATGTTTGTTATTAATTTTGTAGATTTCCCAGTCTCGTTTTCTTTAGTGGAAAGAGAAATATCCTTTCCAATCTCCTGTAAAAATTTGGGTTTTGTTGTCTTGCAGCTTCTTGTGGTGTCTGTGTCATTTCGTAAGTTGTCAGAATTCATTCTTCTATAGCAGTGTTTAAGAAAGTGAGAAGAGAGGCAGAAGTCATAATATTTACTTAAATTTATTACACACTAACTTAAAAGGAGAAGAGGTAATGGCACAATCCTTTCTAGCATTTAAACAAAATTCCGGGGGCACCTGGGTGGCTCAGTCGGTTGAGCAACCTACTCTTGAATTCAGTTCAGGTCATGATCTCACAGTTCATGGGATCGAGCCCCATGTCCGGCTCTTTGCTGACAGTGTGGAACCTGCTTGGGAGTCTCTCTCTCCCTTTGCCCCTCTTCCCTTCTCGTGCGGTCTCTCTCTCAAAATAAATAAATAAACATTAAAAAAATGAAGTTCCAGTTTTGGAGTCGTGCAGTATAGCTACTTATATAGGATTTTAATTCACTAGGAGACTAGGCCGAAAGAAAGTGCTTTTCTGACAAATGAAAAATAACCAAAATATGTTTCCTGGAACAGGTGATTAAAACTGAGACTTGTTTGAGCTTAAAAGGATTGGGGATATATAAAACCACTACGTATTGATTACAGATTAGGTCACATAGCATTAAACTTTAGTGCTATGTTGACTGACATTGTGTCAGTGAATAGCATATTTGATGTCAT